CACCTCACTTTATGTCATATTCAACTACTACCACAGTACTCACCTCACCTTTTTCTACCTTTATGCTTGTCTCTTTTACATCTCTGAAACACTATTCTGTTCCCCCCAACCAACTCGACTTTTTTCACTTTGATGTTCCATCCCCTCTGTGAAGCCTGAAGTCAACTAAAGGGCTAATGATAACTGTCAAAATGCCTTCCATTTGATATAAATAAATAAGCTATCTGAATTCCAGTATTCTCTGAGAGAACAGTCGTCATTTCAGTGCCTGTCGATCCAAGTATTGCACTGACATTTAAATCTGTTGACTTCCACTCTGTCAAGGGAATTTCCAGTGCCAAATTTTCGACATCAATTTGAGTCATATACATCTTGGTTGGTATCAAAAGAGTACCGACCTGTGTGCCTGTAGAAACGGTGTCTCTTATCCCCATTTAACAAGACTGTAATGTTACAGGTGTTACTGGGAGATTTCTAGACATGGGTGTTTCAAGTATGGATGATTTGCGACCAAGAAACACAGACTCATCAATAAGATGAATGGAAGCCTCAGCGCTCGATGCAGTTCGGCTGACTTTCGTTGTATGAAGATTCACCAAAGTCTACCGAAATTTCCCCTCCAAAGTCGGCCATTTGAAATCCAGGAGTCTCACTAAGGGCTACATCGACTCCAATATTTGTGGGATATAATAGTGATGGAGTTCTACTCTCACTGAGTACTGTAACCGAGTTAATAGTTCCTGATTTTAAGTTCATTCTCTCAAGATTGAGTTGTTGGGGAAGGAGAATGACTCCGACTTGTGTACCTTGGTCATACCTCATGACTGATCTCCTGCAAGCTGAGCTATGTGGTGGATTGATTTGGTGAGCGATTGTATCACCTGCGTGCACAAGCCTTTGGCTTGAAGAAACAGAGAGAGCTAAAGGTGTTGATAATGTTCTTTCAAGTAAACGGCGAGAATTATCCAGACTGCCATATCGTCGATCTGATCTTATTGATCCGATTTCAGTGGTGAAATTTTCTCCGTCAAGCGTGATATTTACCTTTTCGGCATATTTGATGGGTACTTCATCAACACCCACTGTTTCCTGCAACATCATATCGTACTGGAATTTGGATGACATTAGGAAATTGTGAAAATCAATTTCTTGTTCCGATAAGTTGCTAGGCATGCTCGCCATAGATTTCCCATAGTCTCGTTGAAGAGAAATTTGCATGGGGTATGTGTCTCACACCAACTTGCACTGAACTGTCCATAACATCCTTAGGTGCAGAATGTTAAGGGGTGGATAAGATTTCTGCAATAGGCGTGAGTGTTTGACCAGGAATATGGATGATTCCAGGACGACGGAATGAGCCTGTGGAAAGTGTGTTGGTCTCTCTGAGGACCGGTGTGGTCTGATCAGATCGAAGCGTATCATGAAGTAGACTCAGATCTTTACTCTGTTGAAGTAGACTTGCCTGAATTTTTTTGCTCCTACTTATGGCCGATGAAGCAATGGGAAGAATGATCTTCTGTTGATCTTGACTCATTGATGTACCTGACGGTGCTCTACCACGTGCTGACTGATATGCCCCTTCAACCATTCCAATATAGTTCTTTCCATTCGCTTGGATGCCAATCTCATCCACTTTTGACATTGGAATTATGTGTATTCCCGGTGCATTGATCAAAACTGTTGTCATTTCTGTTGCAGAAGATGCCAGAACTGCACTTACGTTCACTTCTGCACATTTAGACTGAGTTAGCGGTACTGAAACCTCTAAGTTCTCAACCATTACCTTCTCCATGGTAACGGTTGTTGGAATTAGAATAGTACCAATCTGGACAGATTTTGAACTCATTGAATGTTGAATCGAATTGGATATTCCACCAAATGTTAGAGCTTTATGTGCATCATCAATACTTGTTGAAGGTTAAATTAGGGAAATATATCCACTTGCATGAGACCTTATAGCACTAATTGATCTCTCCTTGATAGCTATTCGAGTCGGATTTGATTTGGTGTCTCGCTGTACCTCTGCTTTGTACTCTCCTTGGCCCAATTTAATTGCGATTTCTGACAGGGCTCCCACAGAAGTAATATGAACTCCTGAACACTCGTAAAGTATAGACGAAGTCACGATATAAGTAGGACATAGATTGTTTTCAGTTGAGATAGATTCAACTAAACGTGGAACTTGATGGGCATCAAGACTCATTTGTTCTAGTTTTAATTCCGTTGGAACAAGAACTGCTCCCACCTGGGTCATTGCCTTAACTTTTGAACTCTCTCTACTCCTATAAATCTTCCCAATATGACTCACTTCATAAAAAAACTCCAAACGATGTACGCGAAGACGTGGCTAATCACTTTCTGACTTAGAGTAGCTCGCCTCAATTAGATCCCTGGCCGAGTCGACAGATGTGTAAAATATGTCACCTTTATATCCCACTCGAACATCATAAACATCTCTGATGGATAAATCACTCACTTCCTTTGATTTGGTCAAAATTTGATCATATTTATGTCAGCCTTGAATGCAGCATGGCTCCAACACTGACCTCTTCGAATGTTCCATCTTTTCTCTGCCCACTGATAGCCTCCATATTCTCAACACTCACTTTATCGACAGTAATTGTTTTGGGAATCAAATTCAATTCAACTTGGACATTTTTGTTCACAAGCTGGGTCCGATTTTGTATGAAGCTGATCCCACCGTTTGGAATTTTGTACTTTCCCAGTAACTGGCTGTACGTTTATTCTCTGTACCGTATTGAGCTTCTTTTACACGTAGAATGGCGGCGAAATTAGAATCATCCGCATCACTTGTGGTATTAGGGTCCGCATTTCTTGCTATCATGCTACCCACATCAAAGTGCTTTGATCCATCTGTGCTCCCAGTTACAGAAGTATTCCTATTGCTGACATGACACTGATTACAAACTTATCTTTGCAATAACCGAGCGAAGTTCAGCACTCTCATTAATTTGAACGACTTGAACACCAGTCGATTCTGTCAATTCTTCCTCATATTGGACTCCTGAAGTACATAGGACAGCACTGGCATCAACTTCTCTTGCATCTCGAGCTTTTTTACTTGATAGAACAGCTTTCATATTTTCTAATTTGAGAGGTCTGACATCAATGCTATAAGGGATTAGCTTGACTCCTACCTGGACATCACGACCACTCCAATCAATTTTCGACGCACTCACTGATAAGCATTGTCTGTCTGAAGATGTAGAATTTCTTTGTGTTGCTGACCTACTTTGATTGCCCGTATCGACCAAAACCAGTCTATATCGAGGATTGGGGTGAGTGGTATATGTTTCAGGTTGAAGTATAGCTTTACCTTGCAAGGACAAATTGTTTTCAATTCTAATAGTTTGTTTTGAAGTCGTTACTGCTTTTCAGTGGATTTTCTGGCAGGGAAATTATCCATTGATTTATTCTCAAAAAGCGGAGTCTTTCCACTAACTATTCCACTCCACCACCCATGAACCTTGTTTGATTTGGTAATGACTTGAATTTGAGATTCGGGACTATCACGGGCCATGTCAACTTCAATTTCACCTGACTGATCCAATGAGCAGATCACTATTCCACTGTCATCACATAGCTCTGACTTCAGTGTAATTTAAGCTGAACAACGTATCGACTGAAGGCTAATACTCTCCTTATGCCCTTAACGGGAATTTGTGACAACTTCAATACTTCAGGAATAAGCTTTGCTCCAACTTGAACGCCAATGCCATACTGCTTTACACGCCTATCTGCTGAATAGATGGAATCTTCTTCCATATTCTCTATGCTTGTATCAGCTATTTGAGTATTTGCCTCGGCGCTCACATATCCGAGATTAGATTATGACTTTCCAGAGGAATAATCCAAGGTAGCGGGCTTTGCCCTAATGGTAATGGTTTGATTTCTCATTCTGTTGCTGAGGAGATCACAAACCCAGTATTGGGAAGTGATATGGGGCATTCGGTGATGACCATCAAATTGGCCGGTTTCCATAATGATGCTAGCTGGAAGAAAATTAGGTCTTTCGGGAATTATTATCTTTGTTATGACATCGGATGAGGAAGAGGTGTACTGAACCATAGCTTCAGATCTCGAGCTCTTCAAATTGATATATTCCAGTTGTTCAATCGGAATCATCTCGATTTCATTCTGACCATCAACAAGAGTGCTTTGAAACTCAACCTGAGCAGGATATAATACAGTAGAGACCAATGACATCGGTCCACTAATAGGTTTGCCCAAATTTGTAAGTGATATTTCAATATTCTCTAATTGTACAGGCGAGACTCCAATTGCAAGTGGAACCAGCCTACTTCCAACTTGCATTGATGCATCTGAAGTAACGGAGAGTACTTGAGATGTTTCACCTGAAATCATCATTTTACTTCCAAAACTCCACATGGAATCAGTCGAACTACGTTCATCTGAGTTGAATTATTCATGCAAAATATCCGAATCTTCGTCTTCAATCTCTTCTCTTAAATCTGTTTGCACAGAAGGCAAGGAGCTGCTTACACTGATAACAACCCTGGAAGCCTTCTCAATTCCAGAAATATGAACACCACTTCCTTCTGTCAGACTCGATTCGACTTTTATCTTAGCTGGACATGATACTGAATTCATTTTCATGTTGTAGTTTTCGCTCCCAGTTGCATCAAGGAATTCTACTTCCGTTTTCTCAAAATCATATCTCTTCATAGATATCTGTGTTGGTACCAACTCTAAACCAACCTTCACTTCAGAATTAAAAAGTTCCCCATTCTCTCGAAGAAGATTCGAACTTCATATCTGTATCTACAGATCAGATTTTGGAGTTTTAGAAACACAGAATGGTCTTCCAGCTACGTTTGATCTCACGAAGTTCACCTTTGTCGCAACTCCAGACTGTGCGGTTATTTCCCCAACTGTAACCTTACTCCTGAGATCTTTAGCTCTTAATACAACTGCGGCTTGAGTCGTCAAGCCCCTGTCGTCGCGTATTTGTGTATCAACAGAGTCAGGATGCATGGAGCCTGTTACAGCTCCGTCGTCATGAGTAACAATAAAATTTCTCACTCCACTATAATCAGCAATAGACAGATCACTACCCTCATACAGTTCAGTTTAAAATTTCATATTCAATGGGCATATGAGTGAATCAATTGGCAGTCCAATTTCGAAGTCCTTTAAAGGAGTGCCGAGTAAAACAGCCATTTTCTTGGTACTGATTTTATTCACACTTACTTTCGTGGGAATAAGTCTTGAAGATACCTGAGTTCCATAATCATGAACTACTCTACTGATCAAAATTTCCACATCGCATGTTGCGGTACTGTTTTGAATCTCCGATTTGGGTTGTTTTTCCCCTTGAAATTCGACATTTTGCGATTGCTCACCCAAGTCGGACGTTTCTGAGAGACTACTCCTTTTCTTATATTCCGAGAGATAGGTCTGCAGATTGAAATGAATTCCACGAGAGTGCAAAATACAAGAGATCTGAGTCATGACATCCGAAGTTGCTGCTTCACTATTCATTATTCCTGTGGATTCCTTGTCGGGAAGAAGACAAAAAGTGGTCGATGTATCTTCGACAACCCTGTTCTTTTGGTTGTGTGAAGGAATATTGACAACTCCCATCTTGGCTACGGCTTGTATAGCTGCAGTTCTGCTCACAACTTCTATCTGTGTTTGAACTTCAGAGGATCCCTGCGTTTCAGTCCAGGCTGATTCGCTGCTTGTTCTGGTAATAACTTGCGATTGGACATCACGAATTTTGAGTCTGCGATGGGAGTCTTTAGTGGTATGGGCTACTGCATTTCTCAGTTCCAAATTCAAGGAATTCACATAATTTATTCTCAAAACTTGCACGCCTGGACCCTTGTAGAGATTCACTGATGTGCCAACCGATACTGGGCAGAGAACTTCACCGACTCGGAAATCTAGACCTTCAGTCTCCTTATTATTCATCACTTCCAATCCGAGCTTACCAATATCTACACATGAGAGGTCAATCGCTTGTGGACCAACACGAACTCCAACTTGAGAAGTGGCATTCCTTATTACTCTTAGAAGTTGATATTGCACATCAGCTGTACTAATCGTCGGTTCAATTTTTCTCAACTCAGATATATTATCAAAAACAAGTTTGTAATCCTCTTGGTCGTATTGAACTCCCGTGTTCATTATGAGACGAAGAATTTGAGTTTGAAGGTCATTTGTGCTAGCGCTTCTCTTTAGAATAGAGACATTTCCACTCCAAACTTTTCCTCCACCTTCCCCATCTTTTATGACCTCACCGACGAATGTAACTCCATTTGCTTTTGATCGCGCGTACGAGGTGACAATTTGTTTGGCAACTTTACCGTAATATGAAGAAGATTGGGTATCACTTGACAATGTGTCATCTAAATTCATCTCGTAATGATCTCCACCTGATCGGTAGTCATTTTCAACCACACGGAGTTTGGAAAAAGAAGTTGAAGGGAAGTTTTTTATTACATCCTCCAGTGGTTTCATGCTGTAGTAGCCAATGGCTCGGTCAAAAGCTTGTCGCTTCATTTTTCGTGAAGTCATTCGTTGTTGGAGGCTCTTAAGCTGATTTTTCTATTCTTTTCGCAAGTTTCTTAATTTAAATTTGAGAATTTTAGAAGCGGGATATTGACTGTGATTATCGCATTAGTAACATTTTTGAATACTCACTCCATTCTAGAGATCTCCTTGAAGATGTTCTGTCTTTCGTCTTCAACAGATTTCAAATAGCGCTGCACCTCTTCAGCCCTCATCAAAACCCGTGATTGGACTTGATCCACATGGACTGCTTGGTTGAGTACACGACGTAGAGGTGCACGAAGAGTCCTAATATCCTGTTAAGTTAGTGATATTGCCTCACATGAAGGTCGCCGATTGGCTAAAATAATGCACGGGTGCTCTTCATAATTGATTGCCATTTGAGGTCTGTTATCTTAAAAAGCTGTAGCTAATTTCACTGCTGTAGGTCCTCGTCTATATCGGCTGAATGCTACTTAAGAAAGGTGATTAAAGCGGCGCAACAACTTTTTGCTTGATGTCAGATTTTTGAAAAAAAAACAGAATGGAGACCGATTGTGCTGAAAAAGTCCTTGAAACTACCGGGGATTGTCCTTCAAGTACTTTGAAAACCACTCCTAAGCGTTTTAGTCGTCTGGGTTTTTCTTAAAGGTGTTAAGGACATAAAAATGATTAAATAACCTCCTAATCAAATCCCCTTCTGTTGATTGGCCAACTTAAAACTTTAGAATTTTGATTAAATCTCCAAAATATTAAAGGATTTTGATTTAAAAACATAAAGAATTCCAAAATATGGAAATGCAATTGAGTAACCATTCTTTAGAATTAATTTTACCAGAACTCTAGTTGACTATTGTCATTGATTGTTTCAGGATATAATCAAGATGCTCCAACCAATCACCAAATTAAATCGGTCGGTTAATATGCTCTAACTCAAGGGATTTAAACTCATTTATAAAAGCGGAAGTCAAGTTGTGAGATTTGCACATAAGACTATGATAAAAAGGTTTACAATGCTTGTATGTTCTTGCACTGAGCTTATTTAACTTTGTCAAATTCTTGATCAACATCTTATCGGGTATTTGTCAGATTCCGAGTATATAAGGGAGCTGCACTCATAGAACTTTCCTCGCAACAATGAGAAGAACCTGACTTCCCAATACGAGGCCTATAATTTGGAATTCTAGAGCGCAACCTTCCTATTAAAGGATCATGAATTGAATGTGATAGCTGTTTCTGGGACTGTTGGCCGTTAAGCAGCTCCGGAATGGATCCTCATCAATCCTCATCCCCCACGGTAAGATGTTTACTATTTTTTTTTTGTTTAAGGCATTAGAGAGCAAAATCGTGGGAAAAAAGATTATTTTAACCACTGTTTGGAAACTTAACTTACGTGAGAGTAGCATGAGGGTGTTGATGAATTTTTCATATGCACGATGTGGAATTCCACCGTCGTAATTTGTTGCAATAAGGATGGAGTCTAAATCATCAAGGAAATCGTTCATCGCGTCTTTTCTGCGAGAGTGTTAGAAAAAAAAATCAACGAATCACATAAAAAAGGACTCTTTGAAACCTAGACAATACCGGATAATAGCTAAGTACTCGGCAAAAAGTCCTGTAGAAGAGGGCCTTATTCGTGTCATAAGTATATCAAGGTAAATGCGGCGGGATACAGAGTGTATAAGCTGAATGTTAGGCGGAAGTAAAAGGTGGGTAGGGGGGGGGGGGGGGGGGGGGNGGGGGGTAAGGGGAGAGAAGCATCTTGTCTCGATGATCACAATCCTTCAACTCAGATGAAACCTGTGTGTGGGTTATGTTTTGATTCGATTCAGCACATTGAGAGCTTGCTTCTAATGTACGTACCTCTTAAAAGTCCAAGAATCGAGTTAAATTATCAATAAGAGCACGGTTTCAGTCCCTTAGCGCACTTGTAATAATTCTCAAGGTTAATTTTCTTTCCTAGGAGTTCTCAAGTCGAGCTTTAAACCGAATGTTTACTTATTTTCTTCCTATATAAGATTCCCATTGTTTAATGATCTTCATGAATAAATTTATTTCGAGAAAATGATTTGTAAAATTTTTCATGTTAACTTTGTCTTGAATGGGGGGGGTTGCTTACTAATTACAATGCTGAAAAGTTATTCGTAGATTAAAATGCACATTTAGGTCTTTTTTGCAATGAGGTAGAAAATGTAATTTCACCTCATCTTGGTAGTATTGCTCCAAGAGTTTGGTGTAGTATTTGACGAGTCTGCCTTTGTTGCGATCCAGTACTCGCTTTCAATCGGAAACGCATTTCCTTTGAAGACTAGGCGTTAACATTGCACACAATTTAATATTACTGCAAACATTTTTTTGCGATTTGCTTAATAAACCGGTTTTCTTAGTGCCTGTTAGCTGCTAAAATTCTAGCGAGGGTGAAACTGAATCGAAAGGGGAGGGGGGGAGGCTGGGTTTGACAAAGTTGCCCCATTATTTCTAGTAGTCATTCAATCACAGAAAATGTGGGCCTGGGCATAATAATCTATAGCGAAATTTAACGCATTCTATCGAGTCTATTGGTTAGACTATTTAGTTGCGCCGGCCAAATAGTTGGTTGATGGTCTTAATTGGCTATTTACTATAAGGGACAAGATCGCATTGAGACTCGCGCACTCTCTTCATCTCACAACCCTCATTTAAGGATATCTTAATTTGGCCTCTTGATTACAACCAGTGCGCGAAGTAAGATCAACGTTAGCAGAACTTTCTTCCTATTGTGTTCTGGTACAAGGAAAGTTAATATTAATTTCGTCACTCTTGCAGAAAAAAATAAGAGTGAATATGTTATAAAGTACTTTAATTTTTTATATAATTTTGAAAACCCGAATTTTTTTCTATTTTAAGGTAAAGGAATACTTAGTTAGAGACAGCCACCACAAATTTCTGAACAAATTGAAGTCTGATTTGGCAGAAAGCTTGTTGATGCTGGAGCAGATTACAACGCAATGAAATTCAATTTGATTGCTTTGAATTCTGACCCACATCAAATTCTCGAATGACAGTTCAATTCGGTTACAGAACGAATTGAAGACATTTGTTCTGTCGGTTTCATATTCTAAGACTATTTGTAATGTAATTGTTCATTTCAAAGACAAAAACACTGATTTATCTGTCGTTTGTACGGGTAGAGAATGCGAGTGATTGATGAATAGCACCTTCGAAGGCACGGTGTTTACAGTAAATTGATTTCTAATTGGACACACTGTGAATTGGAGTATAAAGAAAGTTACTGTGATAAAGTATTTCAACCAAGTAAAAAATCATGAGTTCATCATTTTTTGTCACCATTATAGGCCACTGTTTTGTTTCTATAAAGTAATTAATTCAAATTGCCCCCCCCCCCTCCCCTAAATGCAATAAAAATAGGTAAGATTATGTAGTGATTTATTGGTAAAAAAAAGGTAAATATTTATTTATGCCATAACGTTATGGCATCACTCGAAATAATGTGTAGAAAATCATGACGGAATTGATGTATGAGTAAATCTCATTAACACAAATAATGAAAATCAATAAATACCTTGCATTTTATCGGTTGTTGCTTGGTAGTGGTAACCCGAAAAGTGAATTTCTAATTCAAAAAGAAAGTAGTGTAACATATATGAAATCCAAAGTATTTATTTCAAATGGCAGGCATTTTGATAGTCATCATTAGCCCTTTAGCTGACTTCGGACTTCACAGAGGCGGGGGGGACAATATAGGGAGAAAAATTCGATAGGGGGGGGGGGGGGGGAAAAAAGGGGGTTNGGGAGGGGGGGGGGGGGGGGAAAGAAGAGTGATTCACAGATGTAAAGTGAAAGATAGTCACATAGGCAGAGAAAAGGTAAGATGAGTACTGTTGAAGTGTTCGAATTTAACATACAGTGGGGTCATGGTAGTTTGAAGTCAGAGCTCTTTCTGGAATCATAATTTATTGTTTTATCGCTAGACGTAAGTCGGATGCCTTAAAGGTATTCCTTCAGTTTCGCAAACACAAAATACTGCAGTAGTTTGGTCTGGACTATAAGGAGGATGTGGAGGTGTCTTCCATCAAATTTCGAGAATAAGGGCTCTGGCGGCTCTTGAAGAATGTGCACATGATGTCTTGAAGAATCAAATTTTGACTGAACAGTTTCCTGGGTCGTTTCCAGTGATGGATGTCTTCAACTTCTTCAAAGCGATTTCAGATTAACTTGAGGTGATCGTTAATCTCGACTTCCATAAAGTCTATCTAATCGCTCGTTTGAATTCTAAAAGATAGTGGTCATGACTCTAACGGACATTACAGCTTTAAATTTGACTGGCCCAGTTTTTCCCTATGAATGCCACTCCTTTGACTGAATTTTATTTTCTGGATCATCTCCGGTAACACATTGCCTAAAAAATTATCTTTATTTGTTTCCACCTTTTCTAATTTGCTAAAGAAAGTTCAGCTAGTTGGATCAGTTATGGTTCCCACAAAGCTTTTGAAACCCACCGAGAGATTACTTAAGCCAAGATTTTCGATGAGAATGGAAAATTCTGATCCGTATGCGAGTCCTACCTCATTGCCAATTTCTTCAATGGTAGATCGTCTACCTTGATCCATTAGGTTCTGCTCAAGGGAGATGTATTCTCAATTTCTTGCCATGAGGAGTCTCCCTCGTAAGGAGATCCAGTTTCCATCAGCTCAATCAGTCAATGAATGACTGATAACATTTCACTCAACATTATTACCATGGAATTCGGCGCAAAGTAAAAATTCATATTAATCTTTCATTGCAATCCAACTCCTGCCCATTTCAAATGATGTCAAATCAAAAAATGTCAACTCAATTACATAATAGCAAAGATTCAAGAAATTAAAATAACGTTATATATAATATATATAGTATAAATGAGACAAGTCTTTTATAGCCACGATTACAACGAATAAATAATTGAAATTTCAATGTTTTAAAACTCAAAGGTCATTTAGAACGTCGTAACTAGGGCGCTCTCAAACAATTGAACAATCTCTGGAAATTTAGCCTTTATTGCGATTTTAAATGGCGGCCCCATGCCAGCCATCTAGTGAGTCATGCGAGGGTGCAGCTGAGTTCTAAGTGTAAGGACAGAGCGGTTGTCACCGCGGCAAATTCCCCAGCACCTAAGTGGATGTCTGAAATGTAGCCGAATCAGCGTTGTCTCCCACTTCTCATCTCCTCTTCACTTCTTCAATTGTAGAAGGCGTTAATCACCGATTTGAGGCGATTCCTCCAAGAGGAGTATCTGGGATCCAGGTTGGAGTTGTTTGGCTCCTTGGCGAGTGGCTTCGCAACAGAATCCAGTGATCTGGATCTCACAATGGTGTTTGCCGAAGGTAGCCGAGAGGCAGACCCTTGGAGGAGTGGAGCAAAAGATGACCAAATTGAGCCAAGTCCACTCCACCAATTCTTCTCCTCAACATGCGTAATACTTCCATCCATTTATCCACTCACTCGCTCACTTGCCAGTTTCCCTCTGTAGGTGCTCATGGAAATCTCCTCAAAGCAGATAAGCAATAAAAAGAGTTTGAAGATTAAAGACATTAAAGCGGTTCCTTTTGCGAGGGTGAGAATCGTGAAGTTCAAATCCTATAAGCACCAATTCGCAGTCGACTTGAGCTTCTCAAATCATTTGGCGAGTTGAATGTCGTAATTAGGAATGAGCAGTATAATCTGTGTACCCAGTAGCCTTATATCTCCTAGCCTTACTTGACCTCACCTCACCTCGCCAATTCCCTTTCTTTCAAGGCACTTCGAAATACCGCTTTACTCAAGGAGTATACCAAGTACGAGCCACTGCTAGTGAGTCTGGTTGTGATTCTGAAGAAAATCATCAAGGTAAGAGGTGTCTTTTTTGTGTATGCGAGGCATGTGCAATGGGCTCTGAGGCGTGAGAATGTAAAGCACGCATTTTCTCCCTTTCAGGAAAGTGACAGCGTGCCCACGCGTATGGGTGGAATTTCCTCCTATGCCTACTGTCTCATGATGATATTCTATCTCCAACAGAAAGGCTACCTGCCCTGCCTCCAGACAGTAAGAGCCATTGAAATTAACCACAACCTTCTTCACTTTCCATCTATTCACACAACTGGCATGGTGTGGACTGTTGTTGTGGTAGATTTAGATACGTCATGGAAAGGAGAGAGGAGTTCAAGTCTCCACATGCAACCGAAGATGTCTTGAACATCGCAATGCCTAAGATATTAAGACTTCCATCATTATAAATGTAGAGCTGGGTTGTGGTAGAAGGCGGATTGGCTGTTGTGCAATCGCCCATCTTTTGTCTATTCGCACTCGAAAGCATTGGCCTCATCGCTTCACAATCCTTCACACCACCTTCTTCCATGGTCTTAATCTGAGACACAAAGATCGATTCCCTCCAGTTCGTACAACATTCATCAATTTGAAGACCAGTGAAGTGGTGAAACGACCGAGCTTTCAGCAAAGTGTTCATGCTCATCCCACACACAAGTCGTTG